TACAGCAAATTACACCAACAAAAAACTGATCTCTTCCTATCGTATGGTAGTCTTTTAGGAATGGCCCACTTTCCAAAATAAGCACAGCATGGTTGGTTGAGTTAGCTTAACTCACCAGATGATGTTGGTATCAGATGGCAGATGAGGACGTACAGAGCTGTATTGGATTAACGAGGGAAGGACCTGTGTTGCGTGGTGTTACTTTGGCTACTTAAAGCCTCTTTTAGACTCAAATGAGTGATTCAGTTCCAAAAGAAAGAATGATGATGTATATTGTTAAATCTGCCAAAAAATTGTGTCAATAAAAACCTAAAGCATCACCATCCAGAGTATAAACACTTACAGTGCCAAACAGCAGCAATTAGACACCTCCCCTGGAACAGTGAGGCACACAGACAAACACCCCAGCAATAAACTGAGACATTACCAGCAGGATTGTACCCTATGGACAATAAATGAACAAGTAAATAAACACATTAGATGTTGCCATTTCTCTTTTTAAATGGTAAAACAAGAACATCATTGACCCAAGATATAAGCCGCCTGGCTGCAAGCATGTCACATTGCAGAGTTTCAATTTTGTATAATTTATTTATGTAAATAGATTTTGTCTTTAGAAGAAATCCATTGCTCGCGTATCGGCACAAAACTGCAAAATTCAACTTGGAAACAGAACATGAAAAGAAGCCTGATGAATGTTGGCAGCACATTCGTTGGTTTGTTGAAACCAAAATACATTTTTCAGCATGTTTGGCATGGACTTGGCCAGGACTAACTGCATTGTGCCGACTGTAAAACATGGAGATGGGAGTGTGCTGATATTAGGGCTGCAGTTTAAAAAAAGGAAGGGGAGGTGACATTTATAGATATACCCAAATAATGGAATAAATGAAAAGGTGACTCCAAGTCTCAGGACAAGGATTTTCCAGCATGACAAGAGTTTTTAAAGAGGGAACTATGAACTGAGCAGCTGCAAAGAATCATCTGAGAAGAATGGCTGAACATCTTTCTACAGATATGTGCAAGACTGGTATCAGCCCTGCCCAGGAGGATGGATCTGTCAACAACAATAGAGACAGACAAACAAAATATTAAAACAGTCAAAGAATGGAATGTCACTAATCAAGGGTGTTCTGGCTTTTGTTGCCTTTAGACAACGGACAGGGTTGCACTCAGTTTTGTTATATGTATCGACTGATATGAAAATATTGTGCTATCATTGTTTTGCTGCATGTGTCGGTCTATTAAACCTGCTGAATTCCTGATGGAGCTGCTAACACAGCAATATTACAATATTCTGTCACTTCTAAAGAATGAGATGTATTGGTAAAATAATTCTTCCAGCATTTTAATTTCATCTCAAACTGATCATAAGTTGCAGTGTAACAGATCCTGCGGTGAAGCATAGTCAGAAGACAGGAGAGAGGAAGCATCACAGCTGTTGATCATTTGTTCAAGGCTGGCTAGTTGTTTCTAGTCGGTACCCTCTCCTAGCGTCTCACTGCTCTTTCCTTTATTTTAGAGAGAACCACAGTGAGATTGAGCGACGCCGGCGCAACAAAATGACCCAATACATCACCGAGCTGTCAGACATGGTCCCTACCTGCAGCGCCCTGGCCCGAAAACCTGATAAGCTGACCATCCTGCGTATGGCTGTCTCCCATATGAAGTCCATGAGAGGCACTGGCAACACGTCCACTGATGGGGCCTACAAGCCCTCCTTTCTCACTGAGCAGGTACTGTACTGTCAGAGAGCCAGAGCTTTTTCTTGTTTTTAGCCCATTGACTCACAGTGGCACAGAGATTTACTTTAATATCAAAGAAAATAATTGTGGAAATGCTCGGTTTGGAGGCCAGAGGAACATTTCCCATCAATCCCCCAAAACCCTGGGACTCCCTACCTGAATATAGGTAAAGCCTTCAGTGTTTCACACAGGTGGAGAATTTACTTGTGGTGGTTGGTGGTGCGGTGTGTTCTACTGACTGCAGTAGGGTGACCTAGAACTTCTATCACAGATTTTTTTGTTTTGTTGGTTTTTTGTGGTGACAGTATGATATCACAGTATTACCACTATTATGTTATTATTCTGTTATCCCTTTTAGTGAATCTATCTGAAGATATTCAGTATGTGTATAAGTGTTTATTTGCTCCAAATTGGAATGACAGTAGCCTCACAGTAAAAATAAAAAAAGAAGTGCAGATAAGGTGAAGTAATTACAGGAAGGTACCGGAGTAGAATGTAGGTTATTTCTTATATGAACACTTGAATTCTACTTAATTCTCCACCTTATTTTAGGGTTTACTCAAGCTACTCTCACCTTGCTTTTCTCTTCTACACACCTGTCTTTGTCTCTACTGCACACACACCAGCTTGCCCCTCCCTGCCTCTTTCTGTCACTGTCTCCCTGTGCAGCCCACTCCTAACTTGTCAAATACTGCCATTTGGTCAGTTGCCCTATGCTTAACATGTTTTATAAATTCCCTTTTCACAACAGCAGGTGAGTCGTACGTGAAGAAGGCTTTTTGTAAATGAAACCAGGTTTGTTCACTGTTGCTTTACCTGGTTGTAAAATATTCACCCTGTCCGACACTTAAGGTGGCTCCTCTATCTCTGTAGAGCATGTGTGATTGTCAGTAGACTGTAGGTGGGGGGGCGAGGGGGCACTGTCCATTAGTTAATTGTTCACGAATGGTGTGGTGTTCTCGGATGGTTAAAAAATACAAATAAAAAATGCTGAAAGAAAGAAAGAAGACCTGCCTTCTGTTCAGTTATTGCAGTGCTGGTATATTCCTCTGATGAAACTTAACAAAAGCACAGTAACAGGGCCACGAGCTCAATGTAGCTCCACCATTTTCAGGATTCAGGGTTGTGCATGTTAAAAGTGGACTGTGCTTACTGGAGCAGTCGGTGATCTAAGTGACCAAAGCTGATCACTACTTTCTGGAACAGTTTTGACAATGGGAGAGCTGGAAAATGACTCCCTGGGTAGATCACTACCTACTAATCTAGAGAGTGGTTTGAGACACACCCTGAGACAAAGTCTCACAAGTCAGAGTCCTCATTTGTCCTGATTATACACACTGAAGGCCATAGCCAGTGTGTAATCCACAGCCTGTTTTGTAATGATTCAGCAAGCTCAGTATCTATATGTCTTTTCTTTTACTCAGGTTTTGAGTTGAAGGTAATGAAGGTAGTGCTTCTTCCATTATCTGACTCTTACACTTGTTAGCAATTATGGCTAATTAGTGAATGTATTACAGCATACAACTGATTATAAATAGGCCACCTCCTACATTTTAACCTCCTATCTCTGTGCTTGTGTACCTTTCTGCTGCCTGCAGGAACTGAAGCATCTGATCCTGGAGGCGGCAGACGGCTTCCTGTTTGTGGTTGCCGCAGAGACGGGCCGGGTGATCTATGTGTCAGACTCTGTGACACCGGTGCTGAACCATCCCCAGTCGGAGTGGTTTGGCAGCACTCTGTACGAGCAGGTCCACCCTGACGATGTGGACAAGCTGAGGGAACAGCTCAGCACTTCAGAAAACTCCATGACAGGTAGAGGAAGCACCGTCACAACAAATTCTCTTCCAGCTAAATATTTTTCTCTTTTTTTCTGTTTTTGTTTATTGGTTTGTAAAAGGTCACAGGAGCTGGACTTGTCCTTATATGTTGTCCTGTCCTACCTTTTAGACTGTGCTCACTATTTTTTAATATCAAAGTCTTTCCTTTGTCACAGTTGCCTATAGTACTGCTGTGCATAGGACAAAAAGGTGAGCCCTAGCTTATCCCTGGCCTGTGGTGTTCAAGTCCTAACCCAACCCCAGCCTGACAAAGTCTGACCCGAGACCGACCCCAAAACTAAACAACTGAACATGCTAAACATAAGTACCAGTGACAGTCATGCTCATAAAGATTCATGCAGAGAGAAGCATAGGCGTGCAGCAGAGAATATGAATATGAATATGATCCAGCAGTAAATCAGTGGTCTAAACAATGATTTATGGCTTATCTTTCTTTGATGTTAAATAACTTTACAGAAACTCAATCTGTTGAATAGTGTACAGTCACAGTCATCATTCACTGTTTATTAGTGAGTGCTGTGAAGAAATGTCCTCCTGTCCTCCATTGTCCTTCTTGCTTTGCTATAAACGCATATGACTAACCTCCCAGATATACTTTACTCTTTTTATGACAACTGCGACAATATTCCCCATGATTCTGTCTTCACATCTGCGCGTAGATCCAGATGCATAAATGTAACACACTGAAAGGAGAGAGCCTGAAAAAAAGGGCCGCTGAATCCGTCCAGAAGAACGTGTCGGGACCATCAGGTCTTATGCCTCGATGAATAACTTTGTTCTGTTCCTGTGCTGCTGTTGATTCTTTATCATTGTGCTTGCATGTTGGGACCATTGTTTAGCTCTTTTGCTATTTTGTAACAGTGAGTGATGACATGATTAACTGTGCCGCAGTGCCAGCAGCGATATTTCCATCTGTCAGAATGATAGACTGCATTTGGAATCAGCCTTTTTGACAGCAGACATTTTGACTTGTTGTGGCAGGAAAAGGTCAGGTTAATGATGGCTCAGCAGCCATTTTGACATGAAATCGTAGCATAAACACAGGTGATACTAATTCAAGTTGATACTAATTAAGGTTTCCTTCAAACAGAGTCAGGGTGCTGTAATTGTGCATGTTGGCTCGCTGGAAAGAGGCTCTGCTATACTAAATGGAACGAAAGCTTAATTAGTGTCAACGCACACCTGTGTTTACACTACTATTTTATGTCAAAATGGATGCTGCTTTTTACACTCTGAGTCTACTTTTTTGTTATTCTCTGGCACATTTAGTCAGGCATAAACTCTCTACAGGCTGCTGCTTAAATCGCACAAATCTCTCCTTTTGTCCATATGTTGTGAACTTATATTAGGTACACCTAACTAAATCTAATAGGAAAAGACAAGACTACATAAATTGGTAGCCCAAAGGATTTACTAGAAATGTATTAGACCTCTTTCTGTGGTCAGCCCTGAACCTGATCAGCCCCTCTACAGTGCTGTGCCTTTGTGCCTAATCTACTAGTACCTGGATACAGCTAGTCTCACCTGGTCTAACTGCTCAATCCGATGGACAGTTTAGATCAGGACATTTTAATTCGATGTCTGCCTGTATACATTTGAGCCTGAATGAAAGGATGAAGAGCTCCTGGAGGTGTGGCTTTTAAAGACGTGGATGTTAAACAGGCAGAGAGGATCTAGTGCACAGGCCCCACAGGCCGTGTTGTTGTCTCCTAGGGCAAGCTGCCTCAAAATAAAAACAAAACACCAGTGTTCCTTTTCATAAATCTCTGCAGCTTGAGACTGTATTCATGGGGAATGGCATTTCTTCTTGCAGCTTAGACAAGAAGCATCAGGCCTCCACCTCTCTTTAATCTGATGTGCTCCAGGTCGAGACAAAAAAGATTTTTGATTAGAGGAGCTTTTGCTGGTAATATTAAGTTACACTAACTTATTGTTATAAGATAGAGAAACATTCCTGATTAAGTACTTTTTGTTTTTTCACTGTATAAATAAAAATTACAAAATTAAGTCAGTGTCACTTAAAATTAAGTGACTTGATCAAGAATGTTTGTTTTACTTAAAATTTTCAATGTAATCAGTTTCAACTATCTTTTTTGTTAAATTAACTTATATTCTCCTATGGAGTGGTTTCTCCTGTGTTTAATCCTCTTCTCCATATCTTGTATCTCTCATGTTGCACGGTAATTCTAAATGCAAGTGACATTTTAAAAATGTCAGCCACTAGAGGGCAACATTGTATCGTCAAACGTCTTCCTCTGTGCGGTCCTCTGGAGGCTCTGCAGCGTGTCAGCGGAGCGTCATGAGTTTGTATGTCAGTCTTTCCGTCTGACCCCAGAGGCCCTCTGAACCACACTGAGTACCCAGCAGTGGCATGTAATCCACTTAACACAGTAATCTCCTTGAGAGCTGTTACAGATGAAAATACACACACAACACAAGCACATACGCAGCCTTTGAGGTACCAGCATTTCTCAGAGTTAAGTTTCTTCATTGGAACTAAAGCAGTATGTTTTGGAGATTCTTTCTCCTTCTTCTGCTCGGCACTGTTTGAACTTTGTTTTGTGCCTGTTGAATGACTGCATGTTTTTCCTGGCTTGCTGACGTGGAAGGACTGAAAAACATTAGCCAGAAGTGATTGTTGCTGTCTCTTGTTTGTTGAGGGAATAATAATTGATCCATATGCTATTTTGGAATCTTTTGGGGGTGTTAATGGTGTGATTATCTGTGCATTGACCTTTTCTAGTACTTGATGTGTGCTTCTAATGTCTTTAAGAACTCAAAATAGTCTCTAAGCCTGGTGGAAAAGTCTATAAAGTACATTTCTGGCCATTATGACAGATTAAAATCTCATCTCATCATTATTTTGGTGGAGTACTACCTCCTTCAGCAAGGAAGGCAGGAAGGATGTTATTAGCCTAGCTTAGGAATAAGACTTTGCCCCTAGTTCAAAAATAAAGCTCACTCATTAACACATTTTATCATTACATAGTATTGTTTCTCTAAAGACCCTGCCATTTGTCTGGCTTAAAAAGCAGTTTGGATTGGTGATAGTATTCTGGTAGAATAGGATGAGGGTCATGTACAAAGGGATGATAAGAGGATGAGGAGAGGGATGATAGGGGTCATTGGCATAGGGAAGAACAGATGCTAATTAGAGTCGTTGAGAGACGTCTCGATGAGCTTGTGGTTTCATTGACCCCCCCTGCAATTCTTGTTATAGAAGAGGAATTACTTGGATGGAAGTATTAACCCTGGCACGCTTTACTATTTCTGTCAATAGCATGGATTAACAGATACAGTCGGTGAGCTAGTGGTCTTTAAACTGGCATGATAATGACAACTTTAATGGCAATCACAGTGTTGTTTATAACATGTGTACTTATATTAAATTGTTCAGCCATAGAAAAGCACAGCCAAAACAAGAAACCAATGATAAAAAACAATACAAGCAAGCAAGCAAAAGCACATAGGACAAAAACAACAAAGTCAGAAAAACAGTACCGTTTTTATATCCAGCATGTAAGTTCACACAGGCGGAAAATAGCTTGAGTGAGAGAGAATAGCATGTGCTTGTTATGTTTGTTTTCTGTGTTCTTTGGGCAAATTGTTGATGATGTAATCGGGTCTGTTATGTGTTCACCACGGTCATCAGCCCTCTCCTTGAAACAACATCATCAGTCGGCTGTTTGCGTGTTAAGTTCCCGTTAGCTTCATATTTGTGAGATGCTGAGAATTCCTTTGCCATCTGGAAAAGATCAGTCCTGTTCTAATAATGGTGGAGACCGTGATTGTGCAGGTTAGAGTAACAGAGCCAAACTGTGGCGTCTCACTTCCTTTCCACTTCCATCCTGCACAAGGTCAACATCAATGTTAGGGCTGCTTCAAATGTCTGTTGTCATATTTTATGACACTATCAGCCTAAAAAGAAAATCCTTGAAGAAAATCCTCAATTTGAATAAAGTGATTCATTGGATTAAATAAGTTAGTCTATAAATGTGGAATGAGTAGGATTTATCGGTTGCTATGCAAGAGCAGCGGTGGTTGAGTGAGCTAGAGAGTGAATGAAGAGCAGGAGCGTCGTTGGAAAATTGGAAAAATGAAACATTATCTTCTCATTGTTTAATAGTTGTTACATTCTAAAGCACAAACAAACATGGCCACACCTCTGCACAACCCTGTGGGAGGTAGCCATATTGCACAGACCTGCAGCTCTTTATACATCATAACACAGACAGAGAGCAGAGCAGAGACAGAGACAGCGATGTAACCTGGTCTCTGTGTTTTTGTAGTCCCCACATTATAACATTTTAACATTGATTTGAATGAATGAAGCCTCTAAGCTTCAAACTATTCGGTACCGCCCTACTTAATATAATCTCTAATCCCATCCCACACCACTTTAACAATGTGATCAAGGAACACAAAGGCCCATAGGGTCCATGAAGGAGCGTTTCTGTGTCCCTTGGCAAAATGGGACTCAATGGTTGCGTTCAAACTGTAGGCCAAAGTGACCCAAATCAGTTGTTTGTGCTCAAATGTGACTCAGATCTGATTTTTGACAGTGTGAGCAGCACAAGCCACATGCAGTCTGATGTTTTCAATGCAGATTTTTTTTGCAATTTTATGGCACTCCAGATCAGGATCATCTTTTGGGTCACTTCAGGACCGTGACCGTTCACACTGGAATCTGATATGGGCCACATTTAACAAATAATCAGATCTGAGCAGTAAATCAGAATTGAGCACTAATGCTTGCAGTGCGCACAGCCTAACTGAACTCAAAAGAAGTGCCAGTGAGAAAATGGTTAGGAACTATTTATCATATGTTTCACTGTCAGCACTTCTGTACAAAAGCCTAAAATTGGAGCGGCAAATAAAGACACGAAGGGTCATTCTGAACTCTGTGTTATTGAGATCTCAGTGTTGGGTTGGAGCAGCTTTCCTCTGGCAGGTCCAGTGATCAGCTGTCTCTTTGAACCTTTACAGGAATTTCTCTCCTTTCATTTCTGTGTCAATGTCAGTGCATAGAGTTGGTTGAGGAAATGACTGTGCGCTTAGCTCACACAAATGGCAGTTTGATGTCACAGTCTGTTAAATTGTGCGCATAAGGGCCTTTTATTGTAAGTTCATTAAACACCACTTCTGAGATGATGGATATGATGCAGTTTGAATAAATATTGCAGTATAATAAAACTAATATGAAGGAATGATGTTACCCTGGATTTATTCTGATTGGATATTTTAATTATATCTGAACAGGGATCGGTACAGGGAGCGGTGTATTGGCACTCTAAACAATCAGGCTGGGGTGCACAAATTAAGTCGATGACAATGAAATGAGATTATTTGGGATGGGGATCTCTAAGTATGACAACTAGAATTTGGCTGTGCGCAACAGTGACACCATCATTCAGTCATGTCATCAACTCTGTGGAACATGACAGTGATCTTTGACCTGGATTTTATGGATTGCTAATATTGGCAAAAAACATATTTATCAACCAAATAACAGCCATAAAATAAAGCTAAAGTTCTTTCTAATCTAAAATAAATGAATTTTATTATTATTATTAGCATTCTTATTTTGGTATACTTGTCCTAAATTCTGTTTCACATACAGCGTGACTCTGAGCTGTGAGAGCAGTATCCAAAGAGGGCTGCCATAACACAAATACTGTAATAAATGAATCTCTTCCAATGTCTTCATCATATCAGGTACTGACTGTCTCACACAATGATATTCAGACAGGCGACTGGCCAGCTAGAACAAATATAATATCCAACAGGGGCACGAGGCTTATATCAGGAGGGTACCAAATTACTGGCAAGTGGAAACGTAGTCAAGCACAGCAAAAGAAACCATCAGTGGTATGCTCCCCAGGAGAACATTTTAAGAAGCAAAATACAAAAGGAATGCATTCTCTGTGCTTTCCTAATAATCTAAAGCCAGGTCCTTGTGACTACAACCACAAGGAGAAATCACTTAAGTGTAAATATGCAAGAAAACATTTTATATTGAATGCATCCAGAGTACTCCAGCCCGTCCCTCCTCCAGTGCCAGTCAGAAGAAGGTGTCTTTTCTTCCTCCCAAATGGTCTCGTTGTGTAGGTGTGTAGACTAACCTGTTTAGGCCCATCTTTTCCTAAATGATCCACTGTGGTGTCAGGCTCAGCAGCACCAGCATCAGCCTGGCAGGGTGTAGCATTAAGAGGGCTAGTAGTAGCCAGTAGACACTGACAGCAGCTCATTTTTGCATCACAAATTAAATTTTCTCTCAAAAAAAAGATAATATAATAATATAGTGATAAAACATTTGTTGGGGTCTATACCAAACAAACATGTTTTCTTACATCTGGAGAAGAGGATTTGTAGGCTAGGGCACATCTGCAGCACTATAGTACTTACTATAAGTACTATTACTATAATGCTGTTTCTCATATTTTACCTTTATCAAAAAATGCAGCCTCTGCGATTTGCATATTGCACTTGGCCATATATATATGTATAATAATATTTGGCCTTTGGATGTGAACTTGTTGCTGTTGAACCAGTCTTTTAGTTTTCAAAATGTAAAATTCAAGCTCAACTTGTAAAATGTTACATAATAGCATTCTGTCTTTACAATGGCTTTCCCGTTATCATCCTAAAAAAACACAGCTTTTATATGCTTTTATAGAAGTGAGGCACAGTGAATGAAATAGGGGCATGAACTTAGAAGTGAAGTAAGAAGTAACTGGCTGTTGGTTGTTAAAAGGATTTATTGGTCTACATGTTCATGTTATCTGTGCTGTCATTTTAATTTGACTTTCCGTTTGTGTGTCAACAGGACGGATTCTGGACCTGAAGACAGGAACAGTGAAGAAGGAGGGACAGCAGTCCTCCATGAGGATGTGCATGGGCTCCAGACGCTCCTTCATCTGCCGCATGAGGTGTGTGTGACTGTGTGACTATTTGGTGTGTGTTTTTATTTCTATCCATTGACTTGGTGGAAGTGTTTTTTTATTGACTCAGGCCAACATTGAGCAGTCTAACCACTACCCTAAGTGTCATAAGTGTTGCATTATCTAGTGTTATTTAAACTTAACACACTACCTTTCCAAATATCTAAAAAAATATTCTGTGTTTCAACGTTAAAATGTGCTTTATACACAAGAAATCCTGAAATATTTCCATCAGGGATGAGTCCAGTCACACATTTAATTCTAACAAAGCTTGCAGAACCATAAACTCTAGATATGTCATTTTTCAGCAGTGAATCATTCTGTCAGTAACAGATTTAGATAATGACTAATTAAAAGAAATTAGGTGTGGATAAATTAAAGCATGTTGAAAACAAATGAAGCCTCTGACACGAGGTCACTTCAGCTTTTGTAACAGTGAATTTGAGCAGCCTGAACTGGTACACAATGGTAAACAGCAGGGGTCCAAGGAATGTGACGGGCAGTATAGCTCACAAAGTGACAGCCATTAGACGTTCACAAAGACGTGAATGGCTGTTATTTATTTTTTTTCATTCAGCTGCTGCACACACGGAACAGTCAAGAGTCCTGCTGAGCTGTTTCTAATTAGCCCCTACAGATGCTTTTACAATGGTGTTTCACTTGTGATTGATTGTGGTGTTCAGGCTATTATTCTAACAATTAATCATAATATGCAGACCTGTGTAGAGAGTTATCATGGCCTGAACCTTTTAATACTGAGCATCTGCCAATACGGAGTCCTATCTGATAGTTTGTACCCCATACTGGAGCTCTCAGTGCACGGCTCATTGCTGTTATACTCTATGGTGGTAACTATTAACACCCAGCAGGTAACACTGACAACAAAGTTCTTGTGCTCCAGTCGGATCAGGTAGGTCAGCTCATCAACTGTAAAACAACCAAAAGACATCCCTCAAACTGTATTTAAATTACAGGTGATCTGTACTTTTTGATGTACAGAATCACAGACACAGACATCCTCCGTGCTGCCGGGTTGTAAGATGTGTGTGAAGCATCCACTTGGCTTTAGATGTAGCTTCTTTGCACAGTGTTCCCATGCATCCTGGAAAACCCGAAAATGTAGAGACTAGATTGCCATTCATGAAAACACCTGGAAAATGATTGAACCTAGGTGCGTATTTTGTTGAATGAACCCTACCAGCTTCACTGTTGGTAGGATGAACTGTATTTATTGAGGTTTACCCAAACGCTAACTTGTGAACACTTTCTGTAAAATGAAATAAATTCTACATGATTTGAATTTGTACTTAGGGGCTGTGATCCCTGGAATCATACATGTCAGTATAACTGCCATTTTGCCAAAAAATACACTTTTTCAGAGCGGGCAAAAGTACAAACATTTTTTACTCAAGTAGAAATACCGATTCTTGTGTTAAAGACTGTTTCAACTTCTTTACTCAAGTAAAAGTGACAAAGTACAGGCTCTGAAATGTATTCCGTGTGTAAAAGTAAGAAGTACTCATCACGTTCTGTCATGCATGATATGCACCGGTCTTGATGTAGGGAAGATGGGAATGATGCAAAATAATAATAATAAATTGATCATTCTCCTCAAATGCATTAGAATTTTTAAAATGTAAAAAAACTACTTAAGTACAGTAAGACGTATTTGCCTTTTATTAAATTCCTTCAAAGTCTTGAGGATGTAACCTAAAACTTGACTGGCTGCTGGAGGCATCAACTGCGAGGTGGTGATTCTAGGTTATTGTCCATTGTTACATGGATGTAATGACTGGCCAATAAAACCAGCAGGATACTTCTAGTTAAGCTGTTAATCTGATAGATGGCTGTAGTTCTTTTACTTTAAATTAGAAATGTCTCTCCTCTGCAGTTTAGAAGGTGCCTGTATTTTCTTGACTAGAATTGATGGAGTTCAGATGCGCTTGACAGCAAAAGTCTTGTTCTGTAACAGTGGCTTAATACCACACAGCAACAGTGCAGAATATGACTCATGCCTGCTTTTTAAATTGAGATGTTCATGGACCCATAACCTATTTCACACCACATGAACCTCACACCATATGCCTTTCTATCCTGACGTGATAGCAGTAATATTTTTGCTCCCCAGAGGTTTTGGTTAAATGACTGATGTTTCCATACATCATAGATAATAAGACTTAACAGGCTTTCCATCTATATTCTAATAATTATTGCCATCTGTTGGATGTCACCCCAGTCCATAGCTTCTGACCCTTTACAAACCCACTTTCTTGCTAAATTGGTCTCTTTCCGTGTGCTCTGTCAGAATATCACAGTTTGCCCCACAGCCCTCATTACTACAAACTATATCAAAGCAGCTTTGAATGCTTAAAGGGCTTGGAAAAGCTCATGTTTAGTAACAAATAACACACCTTTTACATTTTTTTCCTGACACGCTGTGGTATGTGTGTTAGTCCCAGAGTGTGTGGAATCACTTGGGGCTGCTTTAGCCTTGTTTTGTCTGGATCCGTCACAAAGGCGTGCAAGTTTTTGCACGAGAGCCGCAACGTGTTAGGAATTTGTCGGACTGGCACGTTCTTCTGTTCTGTTGCTATTCCAGGCTCTGCATAATTCAAACAACATGCTGCTGGGACACTCTGAACGGGACTGCAAGCAAACAGTGAAACACAACCACTTCTGTGACACATACATAAACAAGGCAGAGAAAAACACAGCATGAGCAGCAGGCTAACATTTCAAGGAAGCCATTATTAGATCCAGGCAGGCTTATGTAACGTTCAAGCACAAGACTGGCCTTTCCACAGAAAAACACCCGCTGACTGTAGTCCAAGTCAACAGCTGCCTGCAGTGTTCAGACTCCACTCTGTAAGCTGTTCGTGGTTCATTCTATTCACTGAGCAAAGGTGACATGTAATCAGGCCTCTTCATGCCATGGTCTGGGTGAATACTCGGTTCTGATTGGCTGCAGGTTGTCCATTCATTTCCGATGTAGGACACCTACTAAGTAGTTCTAGTGAAACTGTCTGTTTACATTTCTGAATTAATAGCTCAAATGAACTAAATGAAAACTAAATCTGAATATCTGAATATATAAATATATCTCACAGCAGTGAGTGTAGTCTTTCAGTGGCTCATCCTCTGAACACTACGGGATGGAGACCCTTTCTATAAGCAATCCTCCCACATCCCATCCACTATTCAGCCCACTACTTCAGGCTGCAGTCATCAGTACACATGCCCTATTGTTGGTGAAAATCTTGATTGATTTGGGGACAGTGACATGGCTGATAGCTAGCTTGTCTTGTTGTTAAACATACTGTTAAATTATATTTACTGTTTGTTGACCGTACAGAGTGTTATTGACTCATAACATTAGGTCTCTGCCTCGTAAGCCAAATTTCCTTCAGTATAATCAAATCTTCTATTGAGCAAAAAAATATGCCAAGGGTTCCTTAGAAGATAGTAGATAAAAGATAGTTTTGCTTCGCTATAATTCTTAAAACTAGAATAAAAATCTAGCCACTGCGAGACTGTAATAGGCCTTAAAACTAGAAAAGCAAGTTGTGCCTATTCCAAACAATGAAAACTCACTTACTATTAAAGATGGAAGTATTTTTCACTTTACTGAGCTGAATTTAAGAATTTGTAGCTTAATCTAAGCTTAATAATTTGCACAAAAAAAAAAAA